ATTTTTGAGTGCACATAAAATGTGCATGCCAGGCATAAGGGGGCACCCCAAGTCCCACCAGGCATGCCAGGCACTGTAAGATCTTTGAAGGGTGCCCTTTAACCTATTAATGCCTCAGTTTACCTACTGTTATCACCTTCCTGTACTCAGTGCCAGCCACAGGTTGCCCTACCATGCCATTCCCTTAAAGCCAAACAAATTAATCCCAGAAGTGCAGAGTAGGGGGACCCAGGACCCCATCAGGGAAACCTCCACAAAAATCCATATTCAGCCCCTTCAGCAGGTGACTGTGAGGGAGGAGTCTTCATAACTGGGTGGAAAGTGAAAAGGGTGCTTAGTGAGATGATAAAGATGCAGGAGGCTACCATAGGGATTGGATTTGTGCAATGTGGGGTTGCCAAAAAGGAGGCAAGGAGGCATGGATATGGTGCTGAAGGTGAAAACAGGGTTGCAGAACAGAAGTGAGAAGTGGCTTCAGAAATGGGGTTGGGAAAGTGAAAAATGAACTTAGTTGCATGGGATGGGAAGTGGAAGCACTAGGGGGTTGATGTGTGGGGAAGGGCAGGTGGATTGTCAAGCAGAGTGAGCAGGGCTGCAGCTGTGTGTGTGTGTGTGTGTGTGTGTGTGTGTGTGTGTCTGTAGACACACAATATCCTAAATTGTGACTTAGAAATACATTAAAAAAATTAGATACTACCCATATCTTACTTTTTATCCTAACTACCTATCTCAATGCCGTTGTAAAGCCTATGAACAGAAGCACACTACCTCTAAGCTTTGAACAGTTGGCACTGCATAAATAGTACTGGGGAAAAATATTTATCTGACCAATTACAGCTGAAGAAGGGGCTGGGCAACCTTCTTTTCAAAAAGAGCAAAACAAAACCCTTCAAACACCAGGTTCCATCCAACTAAGCAGTACCCAGAGTAGACCCACTGAAATTAATGAACCTAAATTTGCAGATGACACCAAACTGGGAGGGGTGGCTAACACCCCAGAGGACAGGATCACACTTCAAAACGACTTTGACAGACTAGAGAACTGGGCCAAAACAAACAAGATGAATTTTAACAGGGAGAAATGTAAAGTATTGCACTTGGGCAAAAAAAATGAGAGGCACAAATACAAGATGGGTGACACCTGGCTTGAGAGCAGTACATGTGAAAAGGATCTAGGAGTCTTGGTTGACCACAAACTTGACATGAGCCAACAGTGTGATGCGGCAGCTAAAAAAAGCCAATGCAATTCTGGGCTGTATCAATAGGAGTATAGCATCTAGATCAAGGGAAGTAATAGTGCCACTGTATTCTGCTCTGGTCAGACCTCACCTGGAGTACTGTGTCCAGTTCTGGGCACCACAGTTCAAGAAGGACACTGACAAACTGGAACATGTCCAGAGGAGGGCAACCAAAATGGTCAAAGGCCTGGAAACGATGCCTTATGAGGAACGGCTAAGGGAGCTGGGCATGTTTAGCCTGGAGAAGAGGAGGTTAAGGGGTGATATGATAGCCATGTTCAAATATATAAAAGGATGTCACATAGAGGAGGGAGAAAGGTTGTTTTCTGCTGCTCCAGAGAAGCGGACACGGAGCAATGGATCCAAACTACAAGAAAGAAGATTCCACCTAAACATTAGGAAGAACTTCCTGACAGTAAGAGCTGTTCGACAGTGGAATTTGCTGCCAAGGAGTGTGGTGGAGTCTCCTTCTTTGGAGGTCTTTAAGCAGAGGCTTGACAACCATATGTCAGGAGTGCTCTGATGGTGTTTCCTGCTTGGCAGGGGGTTGGACTCAATGGCCCTTGTGGTCTCTTCCAACTCTATGATTCTATGATTCTATGATTCTAAATTAGTAATGTCCACTAACCTCAATGGGTCTAAGTAGGAGTAACACTGGCTACAACTCATTCATGCTAATCACAAATATTTAAACAGCTGCCGACAGGCCTGGAGATGTTGTGGGGTGGGTCTTGCACACCCACGCACTGCTCCCAGCTGAATCATGTGTTGGCAAATGCCTGCACATGTCTCACATGTATGGGATTTCCTCTGCCCATGTAGGGATAAAGTAGGATGGGGGAATGAATAAAATTAATCCTGCTTCATTTGATGAAGGACACATTTATATCACAGACGTTCCATGAGGTGAAATAGATCTTTTACCTAATAGGACAGCACATGGCCCCTTTTTTCAGGTCATCTGACTGACCAACCACATTTTAGCTTCAGAAGGATGGTTTCTGGGTTCTCTGGACACTCCACATAGATTGGTTTATAGTCTTATCACTGTTTATTTTAGCAAATAGTTCCTTCTTCCTCCCTGTTGCCTCTGAACAAAAGCAATACATTTATTTTTCACCCTCAAAGGGAATTGCCTCTTGGATGATTTCACAAAAGCACATCCTTCTCTCCTTTACCATGAAATAAATTTACAAGACTAAAGGCATCATCCTATTTTTAAATCCTCCCCTTTGTCACAAACTGACAACAAAGGCCCATCTTTAAATTAGTAAGGTAACAGCAAAGCAAAGTATATATTATTTGATAGTTCTGTGGTGTCTGGTACCAGCATTGTGTACGTTGTAGACATCAAACACGGAAGTGACAGCCTTTATTATTATTTTCTTTCATAGCAAAGAAAATGAGGGAAATGGGATTATTTGTTTATAGATTTGAAAGTACTAAGAAGCCTGTACATATTTCAGTTGACTTTATCACAAAAGAATAATTTATTGCACGTACCTAACAAAAAGCTCCTGCCCCAATCCAACTGGGTTCCTTTTCAATGCTACCGTGGAAACTTGTCTTCCCGTCTTTCTAGCTTGGGGCTGGCAACTGGCCATTATTGTGCTAAATCTGGCCTCATTAATACCAACTGAGTTTGTAATGGGTGCTGCAGCTAGGTTCTGAGGAATGTCAGGAAAGGATTGTTATTACTAATCAATCAATTAATCAATCAATCAATCAATCAACTTTTACCAAGGTGATTTACAGGCACAAAAAAACCTAGGACTGTGCATGCAATCTGTCTGAATCCCAGATCCCAAAATGAATCAGGCTGATTCAGCTCAATCTGGGATTTGGCTGATCAGGTTGAGGCTGCTCCAGACTGCCCTGGATCAAACTAGGCAGTCCAAGGGAGGAAAGTCTAGCAACATGGGGTGGGTGGGTAAGAGAAAGAGACATACAGAAAGATTATGTGCATCACCTCCCCCAAACCTAATCAGAGGTTTAAGAGATTTTTAAACCCATTTCATCTTATGGTCCTAAGGCTAGGGGTAGAGCATCTGCTCTGCATACAGTGGTTTCCCCAAACCCTGAAAACTGTTGCCTGTCAGTGTGGACAATATGTATCAAGGGAGCTTCCATGGTTTCTTAACTCCAGCTAAGAAATTGTAAGTGAGCTGCAAGATGACATACTCCCCCCATTTCCCCCCTTCTTTAGCTGCAATTAAGTGCTTTTACTTGTTACCAACTTTAACTATGATAAAATATAACAGATACTCTGACTTCAGCTTCCTATGTTCCTTAGCCAAAGGTCACATGGAGAAAGTGAGTTTTATAGGGATATGGTAGCAAGGGAGAGAGGTGGCATCGTAGACATGTTCCAGAAGGGCGTATCATGTGTAGGAGTCAGCAAGAGAGGACAGAGGCCTGTGTACACTCTGTAAACCTAGTTCTAGACACCCAGGTGGTAACTTTCTGTTAAGTTCTAAAAAAAGAAATGTGTGTGTTTGTTCTCCATATGCAGTAATGAAATTTGCCAGATTTTCATCTAGCATGAATTGAAGTGGTTTATTTCAGTTCTGTTCAGCTATTGTTGCACCACAGCAAGGAAAAGAAAAGCTAGCCCCTTCAGAGTTTATGGCTTTCTTCCAAGAGCTGCAATCTGCTCAGGTTCCTAACACAAGTTTCATTTGGACAAAAGAGCATTTGAGTACTCCCAGTCAAAAGTTTCAGATAACTGCACTCCACCATATAACAATCAGCCCTCTGAATCATTGGAACTGGCAAAGAAATAATTAATTCTGACATACACTTTTTCATAGTATATGCTCTGTTAAATTATTGATAGCAATCTAGAGAAGAAAAATGGTAAAGTGAGCCTGTGTGTTCCACCTCCCCAGCCTTCTCCATTTAACTGCTCCTTCCCAAGAGCAGTGATAACATTTATTTATTTAAAATATTTATAGACCACCCCCCTCATATAAAATATCAAGGCTGTGAACAACAAAAATATGCAAGTGTAATAAAACATTAAATACCATCAAAGCAATACAGTGAGTGTGAGTAAAATATATTCAATTATTTTCATGCTGCATGGTTGGGACGCAAGCAGATACGCTGTTTTACAGTGCTGATCATGTCACTGTTGCATGTTATTAGATTTAATTGCACATCACATTCTCAGCTAATTAAGCCCAAACCTCTCTAAGAAGAAGAATGGAAATGTGAATTGTTATTTTGCACCATATGTACCATTGGGGTGGGGGCACGCATCATCTTCTGTATCCAGGCCCAGTAAAATGAAACTGCACCTAAAAAAAAGAGCCATGCTGGTCCATAAGGAAAAAGTAGGTAAAGGTACCGACCCAGCTGTGGATTTTAAAATCCTGCATTTTCATTGCCAGTGGTAACACTGACAAACCATAATGTCCCTAGTGCAGGGATGGAAGACCTGTAGTCCTTCAGACAGTGATGAACTCCATCGTCCCCCAGCTGGCACGGCCTGATACTGGAGGGCTGCAAGTTCCCCATCCCTGATTTAGAGGAAAGCAACCAGAATGCCGAGGGACCAGGAGGCCAAGATCTAGGACAAATAATTGAACGAACTAGGTCTCTTGGGCCTGGATAATAGATTATTAAGACAGATGAATGATGGTTGGTCTCCTTCAGGAGGAAGAGTGAGATATAATAGATAGATATAGATTGATAGATGATAGTTAGATGATAGATAGATAGATAGATAGATAGATAGATAGATAGATATATGTTTGATTGATAGATAGATAGATAGATAGATAGATGATAGATAGATATAGATAAATAGCTGTCTTTGACTATCTATCTATCTATCTATCTGAATTCATATCATGCTGAAGTTGTAGGCAACTTGTTTGCTGTTGTTCCAAAGCGACAAGTGAATGGGAGTTGCTGGGATTTCAGCTAAACATTACATGAAGCTTCCTAGTGGTAAGAGGTGAGTGATACTGGAACAGACTGCCTTAAAAATACTTATTCACTAGAAGTATTTATGCAGAGGCTGGATGACCATCTATCAGGGATGCCACAGTTACAGTTTCTTGTACTGAGCCAGGAGGTTGGACTAGATAACCCCAAAATGTACCTTCTAACTCTAAAATTCTATGGCCATCTTGTGAGAAGTTCCAGTCAAACATAACTATGCATGGGAGCTACTACATGAAAGGGTTAAGACCACAGAACTGTGTTCCTAGACTCAGGTCATATCCCTTCACCTCCAGTAAGGAAGTGAAGTGGCTTCTCTTTATTTCCTCTCTCCTCTTTGTGCCATGTAACTGACCAGGATGCTTGAAACTATGTTCTGTATTTTGCACCCAAGAATATTCCACCTGTGTTTTCCTTGCTGCTGCTGGAACAACACATGAACCAGACCTTTGGATTTAGTCAGTAAAGCATTTTAAACTTACTTAATAGTGTGTGATCTGTTAATTGCTAGAAGGGTATATAGAGGAGCATAGTAAGGGGTCAAACATTTAAAAGCAGACAAAATGCAAAAGGGTTCAATAACCTATATTCCATGCTATGCTGCTGGTCAACTCTGAGTGTTTTTAATTCTGCTGGGGGCTCTCTCCTACTGAACAGTGTGCAAAGCCCCACATTTTCAATCTAAGTGACCAGCTGATTCTTTCTGTTAATTACCCACACATGGTTCAGATCTATTTAACCTCTCCACACATCTCAAGTGTGCTGCCTGTTCAAGGCATTGACCTGGAATAGCATACTTGCTGCCAGTAAAAATGAAAGGCTGTTTCACATGGTAAAATCTAAGGTTACAACCCCATTCACATCTTCATGGGAGAAAGTATCAGTGAATTCAAAGGAATTTACTTTTGAGTAAGCACAAAGATTTGCATTGCAAAGCTTTTAAAATGAAAGAATGAAAGCAGCTTTTTGCTAATCCTCAAATGTACTGAGCACCGAATGCACAAGGAGCCGCATCAACTTCTAATTAATATCACACATTCCAAGCCATATTGTCGATTTACACAAGTCTCTTTCCCCACAATTCCCCAGATGGGAGATGCTATTTCTGTGGCCACAACTGAATACTGAATACTGACACCAATATTTCTGTCATGCTCCCAGTTGCCGCAGTGAAATCAACAATATCAGGTACTTTGACAGGCATGATCTTAAAATAAAAATTGAACTCAAACATATTTCAAACCAATGCAACACGACTGATTAAAAACACGACAATAGCAAACAATCAATGTGGGGTTTACTTTTAATTTACTTTTTAATCAGCTTTATTTTAATCAGAAAATTGTATCTAGTGGAACTCATTAAATGATATCTGGAAAGAATGAAATGAAATGAACCCATTACTGTTTGGTTGGTGGCTTTTTTGTGTAACACTCAGTGCTGGCTTCTGGCCAACAAGAAGGGTAGTCCTTTGTCTTGAATGATTAAATTTGATTGATTGATTGATTTCCCACCCACCTTTTACCATACAGTCACAGGGTGGATTACAGCAATGTAATAATACAATATTTAAATATGTTAAAACAATTTATATCAGAAGCATAGGGTAGGTCCTAAAAATATGTATCTCAACTGCCAAAGGCCAGGAGTAAAGTAGTGTATCTTCAGTATGTGACAAAAGCTATACAAAGAAGATGCCAAATGCATATCTGTCAGGGAAAATATCCACAGAAGGACCATAGCTCAGTGGTAGAGCATCTGCTTTGCATGTAGAAGGTCCTGGCTTCAATCTCTGGCAACTCCAGATAGGGCTGGTAAAGATCCATGTCTCAAATCCTGGAGAGTCAATGCCCATCAGCATAGACAATACTGAGCTAGATGGACAGGTTATCTGACTCATTATAAGGCAGATTCTTGTGTTTCTAGGCATAGGGGATGTCATAGAGAATGGCCTCTGGCAGGCTACCAGCCTGTGAACTGCCCACACCACCCTAAATCTGGTGCTTCCAGGTACCCTTTGGATCTCATTTTGCTGTGAATAAGTGACATTCAGAACCTCTCAGAGAATGCAGCTTCCACATTTGATTGGGGTCTGTGGCGTCACAAAGGGGGGGGCGGTGGTGATGGTACGCCCCGTGTTCCATGTCTGCGGGGGTGACAAGAAGTCACTCCATGGGGGCTCGCAGCGGCGCATGAAGCCATCGCACCACTGCAGCCGCCTTTGGAGGATCCTCCGTTCACGGCTGCAGCTGCAAGTAGAGGATCCGGGCACCGGCAGCAAACTGCTCAGTACGTAGTGATGCCACACATGTGCTGTATAGCGGTTTGCTGCCAGTGCTGTACGGATGGTGCCAGGATCCTCTGCTCACAGCTGCAGCTGCGAATGGAAGGATCCTGGCACCCTCCGTACGGCACTGCAGTGGTGCCAGCAGCAAACCACTATACAGAGCATGCATCGTATGTAGCAACACTGCACATGGACCCTACATAGTGACACCCACCCCAGGTGTCATGATGCCTTCCTTCGACACTGATTGGAGTACATTTGCCATACCTTGTTTCCCCTGGGAAAAGGGACTCAGGTGGTCTTTTCCTGAGGAGGAGTTGTGGCTGGCCCAGTGTGGGCCAGTAATGGAAGAGAGGACAGCAGGCTTTTAAGCCTTGCTCCTCCCCACATACTCTAGGCTTACCTTCCTACGGAGCTTGACTTGTTGCCCATTTGGGAACTAGGTACGAATTTTGGGAGGAACCCCACACTGGCTTCGGACACTTCTTTTTCACATCCTTCATATTGTTGGAGTTTTGTTTTTGGAGTGGCATTGGGTTTCGTTTGGTTTAATTGGCTGTTAGTCTGGACAGGAAACACAAGTCAAGAGATAGTGGGGTAAATAACTGAGGCAGAATTGGGTAACTCTAGGAGTTTTTGGATTTGATATCCCGCCTTTCACTCCCTTTAAGGAGTCTCAAAGCGGCTAACATTCTCCTTTCCCTTCCTCCCCCACAACAAACACTCTGTGAGGTGAGTGGGGCTGAGAGACTTCAGAGAAGTGTGACTAGCCCAAGGTCACCCAGCAGCTGCATGTGGAGGAGCGGAGACGCGAACCCGGTTCCCCAGATTACAAGACTACTGCTCTTAACCACTACACTGCCTTGCATGGGGTAATTGGGGCTGTCCTTTAGGCCTGGCATGGCTATTGGGGTGAACAGTGAACTGGTGTGACCACTGTGTACTTGTCAGTTCACAAGTATTCCTTCCATTTCTTTGCTCTGCGGCAGCGGCAGAGCATATGGCCGTGCTGCCCAGGGCAGGTGCACTCCCAAGGGGCGCATGGCATGGAGGATGCCCTCCCAGGTGCAGGATAGCCGCTTGGGTGCACTGAGCGCCGCCCGTGCCCTGCAGCCAGGGGGTGGAGCGAGACACCCATGGGGGTGGAGTGAGCAGCTGATGGCGGACATTCGGTGCACCACCTGCCCGCGACTGCCAAATGTCACCCCCCCTCAGCGAAGACACCCAGGGAGGTCACCCCCACCACACGCTCCTTCCTTCGTCCCTCCTCTGAGGCCTGTCATAGTACCTCACTGGTTCACCAGTGCAGGAAGTACATTAGGTGGAAGGCAACAGAGCAGAGGAGGAGTGCTTGGGCAGAGCCACACCATAAATTCAAAGCACATCCACATGTCTGTTTCCTTGATGTAGCACACTTTGCATCTGAATATATGTCTGCACACATACTCCTGATGCCTGCATTGTTCTGGCACATGTGTAAAGCCCCCCCCCCAAAAAAACCCTCATTCACTCACATCAGAGATGTGGGAGCTCCGCCCTGTTACACAAGGGGAAATCTTCCTGTATGTGTGTATGCATATATATCAACTGATATTTACAATATGATTCCTTTACAATAATGCCTTAGACTGTCATGAGTCCAGAAAATAAAATAATGCTTCTGGGAACTCATTCAGGGCATATCAAAACTAGGTTATAGACCTCTTGCACAGCAAGATGGTTCTGTGAAAGCAGTTCAGGTGTTATGCACTGGACATTTTAAACCAATACAGCTTTGACCTTACTGAATATTTTATATGTAATTGTAATTATACTTTTTTTTAAAAAAACAGACTTTCAGCATATTTGCTATGATGGAGTTCACAGAGAGTTATATATATGAACCAAAGACAGGGTTCTGATCAAAAGATATAATGGGGAACTTGCCCTTTCAAAGGCCAATGGATTGTCAGTTAGCCTTTCTAAAAGGCCAAGAGTCTTCAAGTAGCCCAGGGACTATGACCTCTTCACTGGAAAACAGCAGTATCTCTATCAGTCACTCCCATGAAAATTTCTTTAACTTCATCTGGGTCAGCAGAGTAGCATTTACATAACTCAGGAATAATCACGAGCAAATCTGAATAAGAGGAACATCACCCTGACATCCTGTTTTGTGTGTGTAGGTGTCAATAAATTGTTTTGTCATCTATGTATAACATTCAGCAAAGCAAATGGCCTGTTAAATATTTACCTATTTATTTTGACTAAGGTTACCAATTTGCCAATTTTGATTTCTCTTAGTTTCCCATTTTTTCCATTTGTAACTCCTTTTCTGTATATGTTTAGGTTGTGTGTATTTTTTTAATCATCTGAAAATTAAGAAGCATTTCCATTCACGTTTCTCTCAGTATAAGCAAATTTGTACACAATTTTGCCTAGTATACACATTTTTGAAACAATTTCCCTTAACAGAATGCACTTTTCAGACATTACTTTTGCCAATATATGCATTTTTGTATGTGTTTTTCACTAATATAACATTTTGGTATACATTTATTGTTTTAAGAACTGTACAGTAGTACCTAGGGTTACAGACGCTTCAGGTTACAGACTCCGCTAAACCAGAAATAGTACCTCAGGTTAAGAACTTTGCTTCAGGATGAGAACAGAAATCGTGCTCCGGTGGCGCGGCAGCAGTGGGAGGCCCCATTAGCTAAAGTGGTACCTCAGGTTAAGAACAGTCAGGTTAAGAATGGACCTCCAGAACGAATTAAGTTCTTAACCTGAGATACCACTGTATTGCAAATTTCAGGGAAGTGGGAATTATGAAGGTGAGCTGTGTTTTGGTTTGTAGATTTGGTAGATTTGTACGCAGTTGTGAACAGAAGAAATCTAGACCCCGTTACTGGCTGCCAGCAAATTTTTCATTCTTTGCACCTAACCACAGGGGTTGGTTAGGTTGCGGAAACACATTGCACAGTCTATATAGGTATGTGTGGCCACATCCTTCCCCCAGTGTCAACTGAAAGTGAAGCCAAGGTAGGCTAAATAAAATCAATTCACTCCTAGCTAGCCCCTCTTATGCTTCTGTCCCATCCACCCTTCCTTGGTTCATAGGACGAGACTATGAGGTTGTTGATGGGCCTGACAGTAAGAGCTGTTCGACAGTGGAATTTGCTGCCAAGGAGTGTGGTGGAGTCTCCTTCTTTGGAGGTCTTTAAGCAGAGGCTTGACAACCATATGTCAGGAGTGCTCTGATGGTGTTTCCTGCTTGGCAGGGGGTTGGACTCAATGGCCCTTGTGGTCTCTTCCAACTCTATGATTCTATGATTCTATGAAATAAGGTTTTCTGGCCTATCAGCTAGAATGGCACAAAATGGCAAGGTTGTTGGTTATTATTATTATTATTACACTACCCAGTTCCTGGGATGTGGCAGTTTGCAGCTTGGGGGTGTCCAAAACTTGCAACACAGGTATGTTGAGCACACTGAGGCACCTTTAAGGTAACTGGGGATTCCCAAAGACTTGGCCTTCAAGAATGTGGGATCTGATGGTGGGTTATAGAATTTCTTTAGAGCCAACCAGTCTCATTTAGATACAGCAAGAATGGGAAAGCTTTTTTCAATTCAATGGCCACATTCCTTCATAGGAACACTTCTGGGAGTCACATACCAGTAGTGAGGAGTTGTTATTGTTGGCATCTGCCTGTCTTGAGAACAATGGAGTGTGCCTCCCTGGTGCACAAGCCTGGGTGGTGTGTATGGAGGTCCTAGGCTGCTCAGACAACAAGACCCCCCTTTCGGCCTCATTGATGTGGTCCAAGGGAAAGCAGAGCAATACATCTAGCACTAGTTTGGCTGCAGGAGTTGCTGGAAGCATGTGTACAAGACACCATCCAACTGTCTTAGGGACTCCACTCTGGAATTGTTTACTCATGAGCATTTTCTTGTTCCAAAGATATCCCGCACGGCAATGGGCATAGTGGCAAATATCAGAGTCAGAAGTGCACATAACACTATATGTGACTGTTATTTCCGGACAGTATGCTATAATGCAGACTCAAAAAAGCTACAGGTTACCATTTCTTTCCACTCAGACAAGCAAGATACATTATCACAGCTCAAGGAAAGATTCCAGCCAAGTAAAAGCACTTGGAAGGGCTAGTGATGGGTGGGGCCTTTGGAACGGGACAGGGCCTAGGGAGAGTCCTGAGGGCCATATACGGAGGTCTGGTTGGCCACATTTGGCCTCCAGGTCTAAGGTTTCCTTCCCCAAGGAATTGGGGATAATTGAACTTGAGATGAGAGTGATTCAACACCTGAAGAGGTGTGGCTAATGGGAATGTTTGGTTCATCCCAATTTGAGATAGTTTAGCTATGGTTAATCAACAATCTAGGACAGAGGTAGTCACTGTGGTGTCCTCCACAAGTTGTTGGACTAGAGCAGCGGTTTTCAAACTTGGGTCTCCAGCTGTTGTTGGACTACAACTCCCATCATCGCTAGCTGGCAGGACCAGTGGCCAGGGATGGTGGGAACCGTAGTGCAAGTTTGGGAAACCCTGGATTACAGCAACCAACATCCCCAGCTAGCATGGCCAATGCTGATGGATGATGAGAGTTGTCCAACAACATTTGGAGGGCACCATATTAGCTATCCATGATACAGAATTACAAACCAGAGTGATCCTGGCTTGTGTGATCTAACCATTATTTAAACTAACCATGGTTGTATTGAGTTTAGACATTATGGCAGCTTGTGATCAGTTTTGATCATGGCCATGGCAAAGACAGAGATATGATGGTGGTACATATGACACTGAAACTATTGGTAAAGTAGGGGTAGACTAGCATGTGGCCCTCCAAGCATTGTTGGGACTACAACTCCCATCATCCTCTGCCACTGTTTGTGTTGGCTGGGGATATTGGGAAGTGGGAAAGAACTGTAGCTTAGTGGACAAGCATCAGACTTACATGCAGTAGGTCCCAGGATCAATCCCTGGTGTATCCAGACAGGGCTAAGAAAAACTGCTGCCTAAAACCCTGGTGTCAGAATAGTGATGAGCCAGATGGACCAATGGGGTTGGCTTATTATAGGACAGCTTCCTATGAGTCCAACATAATCAGGAGGGTGGCAGGATGCCAACTCCTGCACTACACTACAGTTTAGCATTGCAACCAAAAAGACACTGAGTAGCCCTTTGTTGGGGAAGCAGGGAGCAAAATGAATGATGGGAAAGCTAGAGGAGGAGGAATGAAGCACTGAACCATTCTTTTCTGTCTTTGTAGCTGCACTGTGAGCAACCCCTGAGGGATTCTGTCAACCCACTACCCATTGCTGTTCTGCTGGCCAGCTGTCCTCCCCATTCTCACTTGCCTTTACCAAAATGACATGTAGAATAAATCTGACTGGTGCCTCAGCTGCCCAATCTCTGAATCTCTGAATCTCAAGCCAAGCCTGCCAGGTCTTCCCAGCCTTCTACAATTTGCCAGCAACTGTTTCCCCTGTGTGGGCATCTTTTCAAGGGTACCAGATGGAACACCTTGTGGCAGAGCTCTGAGTACAGACTGTCTCATTCTTTCCTCCCCAACCCCAACCCCCAAAACATCTTCAGTTGAGGTTGAAAATGTAATTAACTTTTCAAATTCAGGCCGGGTTATATTATGCCAGATTTAAGCTTTGAACCAAAGGAAAGAAATGTTTTTGAGTTTTAAGGCAGAAATGTGTGGCAGGTGTGTGTGTGTGTGTGTGTGTGTGAGAGAGAGAGAGAGAGAGAGAGAGAGAGAGTTTAAAGACTTTCAGTTTTACAGTTGTTGGGGTTCCTTCAACACACAAATTACTTCCATCTGATTTTATGATAAAGGGGAAATGAGGACTGGGATTGCAATGTTAAAAGCCACTGTTGCCCTTGGCAGGCCAATTAAATATTCTTCGGAAAACACCCAGCAAGTGAACACACTGAAGCAAAAGGAATGAAGAAGGATGTACAGGGAGGCTCTTGGTATACTGATCCACAACCATCACATTCCCCCTTTTAACTCCTTCATATTCTTGGAATTGTTTTAAAAACATCTTGTTGCATTGATAAAGGTTTAGAAATGGGATATATTCAGATGATGCATAATGCCGAGTTAGATAGAAACTTACAGCACAGTCCTAACTGAATTCAATGGGGCTTTCGCCTTCTGGGTAAGTTTCATTAGGATTGCAGCCTTAGATAATAAATGCGGGAAATATGAATCAAATGTTGGAAACTACTTTCATATCTAGTGGTTGTGCAAACAGAGTGTATATTAAGCATATTTCATATGAGGAGTCTATCAGATGAATAATGTGGTAGAGAAAATAACAAAAGTAGAACTGGATGTAGGACTTGTTTAGGCTGCAACCCTATACCAAAACCTTCTAGGAGTAAGTCTCATTTAATTCAATAGCACTTTCTCCAGAGCAGACAACAGTAGGATTGTTCTGTTAATATGATTATAAGAATACTGTGAAATATGTAAATCCCACCAATAACAGAATGGGAGGCCAAAATGTATGAATATGCAGAAATGGATAATCTTATAAGCTATATAAGAATAAAAGAAGGAAGACAGAAACTTGAGAAATTTGCCCAGAATTGAAGTTTATTCATTGATTATTGGATCCAGTAGAGTGATCATATGGACCCATTTGATAAGTTTTTTTAGTACAGTGGTACCTCGGTTTAAGAACTTAATCCGTTCCGAAGTCCGTTCTTAAACTGAAACCATTCTTAACTGAGACACACTTTCCCTAATGAGGCCTCCCACTGCTGGTGCCCTTCCACCGTTTGGATTCCGTTCTTAGACTGAGGTAAAGTTCGTAAACCGGGACACTACTTCTGGTTTTGTGGAGTTCTTAAGCTGAATAGTTCATAAACAGGACTGTTCTTAAACCAAGGTACCACTGTACTAAAAAAGGCTATAATGTTTGGTTTAATAGCACAACTGAAATGTTTTATTGGGTAATATCAAACACACACACACAAATTCAAATAAAGAATTACTTAGAAAAGAAGAGAAAAAGTTTGTTTGCTGCATATTTGCAGTTAAGCACCAAGTCAGACCACAATCCTATACACACTTACCTGGGAGTAAGCCCAATTGAAATCAGTGGCTTGTATCCAAGTAAGTTACACTCAGGGTAGACTCGTTAGATTAGACCTCAGTTAGTCATGTCCATTAATTTCAATGGATCTACTCTGAATATAGCTAACACTATATAGCTATCCTAATGAAATTTATTCCTTAGTAAGCATTCATAGGCTTTCTCTGCTGATCTCTGATTTGTCGCTCACAGTTCTAACTTACAATTGTCATCATTTTTCACTTCTAGAGTTGTGCAAAAGCACCACTACTAGGCATGCTCTCCAATTCATATGCCCTTTGAGTCCAAATGAGAGAGTTCCCAACATCGCTGTCCACTCTGATTTTTTTGTATATATAAATACTCCATTATGAGAATTTGGAAAATGAAGAGTTGAAATAAATGATTTATTTGGGGCTGATGTAGAGGGGACGAGGTACAGAATTCTGTTTCCCTTTTAAATGTCTTCCAACTATGTGTTCATCAGATGATTGATAGAACACCACCCATGAAAAAGATAATGAGCCAACGAAAACATTACAAACACCACGGAAACTGCTGGAAAAGGCCATCACACAATGATTTGTACATTATCATCATGCAAACCCTGAGACCTACTCACAGCGCTGGCCATTGCATCATTTTGGCACCTGGTGCAGAGAATTTCCAAGCCAGCACTACCACATTTGGGAGGTTACTGGCATGGAAACTCTCCGTATCCTGTGCCAGAATGATGGGGTGGTTGGCACCACATGCTATGGCTTGGGGTAAGTCATCAGCATGCAGAGACTGTTTCCAGAAGTCTCTGTGTGATGCTTGTAATATATGCTCTGGCTCTGCCTTTTGTTCCTTCAGACTATCCTGTAGGTTCATATTTGAATTAAAGCACATGCTATTGGGTTTTTGTTGTTCTTGTTTTCTGATCTGGTAGGTTCTCCACAAGTCTTCTCTATGATTTTGCTTGGTCCTATGGCAGGGGTAACCAACTCTCTTCAGCCCCAGCAGGAATGGTCAAGGGACAGAGACAATGGAAGTTATAGTTCAAAGCACCTGGAGTGCACCATTTTGACTAATCCTGCTCCAAGTTTGCTTTCCCCCCAAGTCTAGCAAATCTTATTCTAATACTTTAGACTTCATTGGAACCTCTGGCAGAAGTTTTGCTTGACCAGCATGCTTCAAGTTCTTCTCCCGTTGTCATTCAGGCAAAATTCAGTAGCAACCCTCTTTGCTGAATCTATTACCAGTCCTTAGTAAGAGCAATGTCAACCAACATCCAACAATATTCTTCAGTAGAAATCCAGAAGACTCGAAACAAAGTATTTCTTTAAAAACTTAATTTTATTAAAGTGTTTTCATAGTATTTGACTTGAGCAATCCCACAAAATATTCTATTTTGAAAGGGGGGGAAATGCAAGAAAAAAATAAAACTCTTGCAAGACATGACAATCATATGATGAATAAAGTAAGATTTAAAATCATAGAATCATAGAGTTTGAAGGGACCATGAGAATCATCTAGTTCCTTGCAATGCAGGAATCTTTTGTATAATATATAATTAGCACCTAAGTCCAAAGCAAAGTATGCTACTGCTGGATGTTGTACCGCAGCCAATCGTGACCTGGTGCCTTCCAGAGGTTTTAGACTACAACTCCTATCACCCCTTGCCATTGGCCTTGGAGAAGTTAGGAACACAAGAAGCTGCCTTGTTTTGAGTAAAACCACTGGTCCATGTAGCTAAATATTCTCTACACTGATTCGCTAAACATTCTCTACACAGCTCTCCAGAGTTTCCAGTCCTATCCAGAAATTCCATAGTCTGGACCTGGGACTTCCTGCATACAAAACATAGTCTCTGTCACAGAGTTATGGCCCTTAGGAACCAAAGCTTCTGGAGAGCACCAAATTGGGAAATGCATTAGAGTCTTGTTCAGTGTGTTCAATGTGTTGGTGCAGTTTAGCATAAAGATGATCAGGGTTCATTAACTCTGTGGAACACTGGATTTGAAAACTTGATAGCTCCATGTTTGTGCTATCCCTTATCTTGAAATTCCTATGGTTGCTTCATCTTGGACACCACGATGAGACTGCAGGGCACTTCCAGTGTTTGCCCAACTCTATACAGATAGCATTTAGAAGACGCAGGTGCAGATTCTTGTAAATAAAATAAGTCTACGTCATCAACAAATATGCATAGGAATCTTAGGTACAGTCTAATGGTTTCCAGTAAAGCAATCCTGTCTGATGAATGAGTTCTCTGACTTCTTTCACTATAGAGATGCTAACATGTTTAAAAAAAATAGGTTCTCCTTGCATGGAGTGGTTTATTTATTTATGGGGGGGGGGGGCTGGAGGGGGGTGCCAGAGCCAGGCCCAAAATTCGACTGCAAGGGCCATTGCATGGAGTGGTATTGAAATGCACATGAACCTTCCTTTTCTTCAACAAGGCTCTTCTATGACCCTCATCACCACAGTATCCCACGGTCTAACGATGCCCGCTGATTGAAAAGAGCCATTTGAAGCTTTAGCCTGTTGAGTAATCTGGCCAGCAAAGCACTCTTAGGCACTTTATAATCAAATAAATGATCACATTTGTTCTCTGCTGACACTTTATTGCTGCGATTACTGATCTGCCGAGGATTGTTAATGTGTGTGCAAGGTTCTGTAATGAATTGTTTCTCCCATAGATTTGATTTGCCTTCTATACTTAAGTTCCTCTTGCTCCTGCTATGTTACAGCTTTGATATACGTATGGTCCTGACCAAAATAATCCCTTTGTACCATTTTACAGATGTCTATGCAGCTCCCCAAAGGATACTAGCTTATTTTACTTACACTTTCTATTACTTACACTTACTTACAAATTTCCTATTTGTAAGCATTACCCATAAGTTTTAAAATATAAAATATAAAAAAGAATAAAGCTGCTCTTTATTACTGAGATATTACAAGCTTCCTTTTCAATTAACTCCTGCTGGGTTTCTCTATTATGTATCAAAGCTAAATATTACCTAATTTAAGACTATAATTTGTTTTTAATGCCTATTTGAACAACATAGTTTGTTTATTACTTTGTCTTTTCAACCAATTTTGTCTTTTAAAAAATTAGGAGAATAAAATAACCTCATTAGATTTTTTTAACCATACACATGGTTCTCATTGTTAAAACCACCTGCACTGTTGCGTTTGTGTCTGCATTCAGATCAAGTCTTTTGTTGCTGATGCTGATGGTAAATATATAGTTATACCAACAGATTCTTTATACCCAGCTGGGATTTTAACAAAGCTCAGGGAAAGTTCAAGAGGTGAGTTCACAAAAAAGAGGTTTTGTGGTTTGTTTGTTCTCTGATTCCAAATATAGTTGTTTGAGAAATTCGACTACATTTCTGTTGTGAAGGAATTTTACATAGAATTCCACTTCAGGCATGGGTTTTAAAGCTTGGAAAGGAAGAAGAAATGGACTTATAACCACTACTTTGCCCAGTGCTTCTATAGCATGGAACGATTAAAGAGAATAGAGGCATCTCTGTTCTGTGTTATGATTTACCACTGGAAGGAGCTAGAGTAATGATGTTGAATTACTGAAGAATATAGCAGAAGGGCATCAGCATGGTTAAAGATTTGAAAGGATATTATATATACAGAAGTAAGCTTGCACCTGAAAAGGGGGGGGGGGGAGAAAGAGAGAAGGAATGGAATCTGTTACTACTGGAGATGATGCAGCGTTGAGCTGTATAAGATCTTTTGAAGAAAAAAAATGACATGTGGGGTCTTATACATGAAAAACAAAAGGCAATCATTTAAGAAGCTGCCAGAATTTTTTCTCCCTCTTGTGACAAGGGAGCAAACAGAGATGGAAGAGTGAAAGAGAGCAAAGGGTGGGGAGAGAGGGAGCCATTCAAAAGCGTCTAAATGTTTATATCCTTTGGAAAAACAACAGCAGCAGCAGCAGCTAGGGTCTTATGCCAAGGGGCTCCTGCAAGGCTGAGGAAATGACAGCTTTCTGAAGCCTTAACACTGTATGCTTAAAGATGTGTTCTGTACATTTTTCTTGTTGGCTAGCTAGCAGCATAGCTGTATTTACTGAACCTGCTGTGAACCAGCAGGAAACAGGAAGTGAGCATCTGAAGCAGGACTTGCATCAATATCATTCCAGCTGTGGCACACAAGGCCACAGCACAATGATGTCAGGACCCAGAGCAGACACCTAAGCTCTGACTCTGACTAAAATGAAGAGCCGCTGGACCAGTGGCACCAGACTGAAATAAGATGGGAACTAACCCAGTCCATAGCATCATGACAACCCCTCAGCTCAGAGGCTTTTGAGCTGCAGATTGCTGGGCGTGGGGATATGGAGTCCATTCAGAGTCTACACAACCAAAGGAACTATTTCCCCTCCATACCAGTGATCTTGTACTGCATTCCTGTCTTGATCCATCAGCACAGGTAATGAGCCTGGAGGGGATTGCTCTTAAGGTAAAGGAATGCGCAAGTGCAGGCTAGCGACCTACTTCTTGGCCTTCCACTGACCATACCTTCCACTGGCATAGTGCCATTAGAAGTTTGCCCCTGAAGGAATGTGGCTGTCAGGCTGAAAGCTGTTCCTAACTAGTTCCAGTCTAGCCACCTCTCAGTTTCCCAGCCTTCTTGCTCACTCAACCCCCAACATTCTCTGATTGCTGATCATGTTCAGTCCTTATTAGGTTGTTTTATGAAGGCTGTGGGGGTTCTTTTGAGGGGGAGGGGGTGATTTTCACCCCTTTATGTTTTTTGAACAATTTCTGTAGTTTTGAAAATTTCAGGGTCCCCCTCAAATTTGCTGACCCTTCTTTTTTCTCAGTGGCCCTTTTTGCCCACAAAACCATTGTTATAGGGACTGGATGTTTTTAGCTGGAAGAATAGGGATAATGCAGACCTAGCCAGTTATGGCTTGTTCTGCTTATCAATGCTTTTATTTCTAAGTTGAGAATATGCCATTGGATGCCATTTCCTGAGGGTGCTGGTGAGGAACAGTGGTGGTAGAGAGCTACTGCCTAGGTTTTTCTACAAGCCTTTGGTTGGCTACTTTGTGGATGAGGATGTTGGAATAGTGGTGTGGTAGCTCTCTCCAAACATTGTGGATTACGATTCCCACCATCCCTGCTCACTGGCCATTCTGGCTGGGGCTGATAGGAGCTGTAGTGCACAAGATCTGGAGGGGACCATCTTGGCTACTCCTGGAGAAGATGGTGTTTGTTCTGATCCAGGACACAACTTTTTCCCCTACTGTGCTCCCTCTTTTCAAAGTGCATTCTTCCTGTGTATTGGGAACTGAACCTATGAACTACTCCATTGTGTGCAATCATGGAAAATCAGATCCATATTGTTGAAAGCTGTACTCTCAAATATTTTCTTTGCTGTGACAGTTGCTGCTGAGCCTTATTCCTCTTGCTGATTGTCAGTATCTGCCCAAGCAAAAGCAAAAGCATCTTTGTAAAAGCTACTTGTCTAACTTATAAGTCTTTTTAAAAATGTGTTTGTGCGGCTCTGTTACCCTGTCTTCCAGGTTATTGGCTTTCAATTACAAATCCAACAGGATGGCAGTGACAATGGCACTTGGGCTGCCGACCATACCCATTCTCCTCAAAGCCGTTGGAAAGATTCTCCCCTATAATGCTGGCTGTTTTTTATTTTCCACTGTGTCATGTCCTATTGTGCTTGTTAAAAGCAGTCACCTGTAAAAAGCCCATAGAGCTTGTTTAAAATCATTCCTTTAATCAGATGTGTCTGTTTCTCTTGGCACAGACTCTGTTAATCCTCAGTGTCTTTATTTTCTGAGCTCTGGGCCAGACAATAAAACGCTATGGTTGACACTTTCCCCCTCTTCTGCAACAGACCTCCTGTGCCTTTTAACAGATGGATGATGGACAGAAAACGAAACAGGTGAAGCTTTTCTCAACATGAAGATGCCATGAAGATGCTATTAAAATACCACAAGATGTCTGAAACAGCAGCCATGAAAGGACAAAGCCACTATGTTAGAGTTTATTTAAAGCAAGGTTGAGAATCCTGGGGTACTATATTGGTAGATTTCAGCTCCCAGCCAGCATGACCAGTGGTCAGGGTTCTAGTCCAGCAATATCTGGAAGTCCATAGGTTCTCCATTCCAGTTTAAGGAAAGACCTGCCTTACTGTACATCCACATGAGGTACCATACTTGGAATAATCCAAATAAAGTATAGATCAGAGAGTGGAGTATTACAGTCATAACTTTTCCTTTCATTGGATACCTCCACCAGCAGTAGAGGAGGGATGGATGATGATGATGATGATGATGATTTGCCAGTTCTGCCTTCTGACTGTTTGCTGTAATGTTCTGTTGAAGCTTGGGGCCTGCAGGGGAAGTGATAACAAATACCAGAGCCTCTGCCAGGCCAGGACCCAGTGCCGCTCCTGGCAGGGATTGAACTTTGAACCTTGCTGGTACAGGTCTTTGCAATATGTAAAGGCCTTGTAACTAATTTTGCAGTTGCATGCTTCAGCATGGTGGTGGAGCAAAAGAGGCTGCATGAGGACTCATCCTCAGACTCTGTTATGCAGAGTTCCTCTTCCAGTGAGATGATTGATACACCATCCAAATCAGAATTCTTCTTAAGCCAGCAATATTCCTGTGGGGTAGCTCAGTTGTTAGAGCATGAAAATAAGATTCTCATCTCAGGGTCATGGGTTCGAGCCCCACGTTGCACAAAAGATTCCTGCATTGCAGGGGGTTGGACCAGATGACTTTTGTGGTTCCTTCCAGCTCAACAATTCTACAATTCTAATTTGGGGCATCTTTTTGTCAATTTTTTTTTTTTTTAAATCAATTAATCTAACTCACTGTAGCCCTAATCTTTATACACCCACGTGTCTCAATAATATCATGTTTGTTGTGATATTGTTGTACTAATGTGCATATGGGATGCACATTCATGTGCAGTGCAGTGTGGGGAAGAGAAGTCTGAAGGAACTGAGACCCAGATGCTCTGCACTAAAAAGTTTGAAAACGGAAAGAAAATGGACCAATGGAGAGTTCCTACTGGCTCAGATCCATTTCAGATAGGAAGGACTGATAATTCAGACTGCTAGAATCAGTGGAGAAATTGGGATGAAATTGGGAATTAGAGAAGCATCCTAAAACCTTACTAAGGGTAGCAAGAGGATTTATTTTTGTTGAGGAGGACTTAGGAAGGATCTCTGAAGCTCTTCCTTGTTTACAAACTTCTAACACATTTGCTTCAGGATGGAATAGGATTAGGACAAGGGTATTGTTACACTAAAGAACTTTCTTTTTAAGGTTACAGGTCAGTGAGTTATGAATGAAGTAGCAAACCATGATAGAAATTCCTAAGGCAATATGAACCATTCCATTTCCAAATGTGTGCAAGCAAATGTCATGAATAATGTATTTTCTATAGTATTTTGCCATGCATTATTGAAGCCATTTGTGCTGAATGCCAGTGATCATGTGGCTTTTTCATTATGGGTTGGTGATGCACTTAATATCCTAAGTTGATCACATTAGTGTAAAGACATCATCTTGGATGCATCCTTTTCTTTCCTCCATTATATCTTTCAACTCCTACCCTTCCTAGAAAATGTACAGAAAATTGTAATGTGAATTATTTACATTACAATTGTGGCCAGGATCAGAGGCAAAAATTTGTGGAGCAATTGATGTGACTCTTATGCTTGCACAGTATGCTACATTTGAGCCACATTTGTAGTTCAAGGGCATACTGCAGTCTGGCAAAATCACTCAGTAGGCCACAGAGCAAGGTCAGTGAGGAGTGTGACGGGTAGTGAACTAAGGGAAGTCCTGAGGGCCGGATGAGGAGCCCTACATTTGGTCCCAAAGCATGAGGTTCCCCAATTCTGCCCTACTACTTTGCAAAATTTTCAAAAGTATGCCAAGAAGCTGTTTCCCAAGAGCACAAAAGGAAAGGAATGTAAGAAAATGTTGTACATGGCTGTCATAGACCCCACCTGCGCTATACAATCAATATAAAAGTCATGGCTTCTCCCAAAGAATCCTGGGAATTGTGGTTTGTTAAGGGTGCTTAGAGTTGTTAGGAGACCATAGTGGTTTAACAACCAGTCAGTTTCCTAGGAACTCTGAGAATTGTAGCTCTCTGCGGAGAATAGGTCTCCTAAAAACTCTCAGGGTCCTTAACTACTCACAGTTCCCAGAATTCTTTGGAGGAAGCCATGAGTGTGTAAGGTGACATGATATTGCTTTAAAAAATGTGGGGCAATTGGCTCCCACATGCATGACACAAGGCACTTTTTCAAACATGGAGGGATAGCGTCCAGAGGTTTTCTAGAAGGTAAAGCTGATTAGAGGAACAGTGGGAGCTTTTTTTTCTGAATGAATCAATATAGGAGCAGACTCTACTTTTGAACCAATAATTTACATCAGTGTTGGGGAACTTCCACATGCCTAATCAGGAGGTTCGCCTGCCAGGCTGTTTTTGGTGAACCATCATCAACTTTCCCAGACATCACAACATATATCAGGTGTGGGAAAGTTCAAGCTGTGAAAGCAAACTTCAAGCCATGACTGCAAAGGAAGAAGAATCAAGAGTTTGCTTCCAATTGTTCCTTCTCAAGCAAAATACACCATTATTTGAATTTGGCACCATTTGCTGCCACCGTATACAGCGACAGAAAAAGGCTCCAAATTTTTTAGAGCTGTAAGTTTTGGCTGCAGTTGAAGAATCAGGAGCACATTTTGCATCAAACAGTGAGGGATTTTTTTAAAAGAGCATTTTAATGAGCAACTACCTAATTTGCACTTCCTGAGCCAGTATTCCCACATGTCAAATTGACCCATATAGGAGCGACCACTTCTGGATCCACCCCTCATTTACATGGAAGTCCTTCTCTAATGTATAATTGATCCTTGAAGTCTTTATGGCTCATTGGAGAAAGTTCGTTGACTATTACTGCAATATATTTCTCAATGGCATTCATCTCTGAGCATTTATTTTATGAAAACAATACTTCACCCTTCTGCAATATTCTTGAGAAAGTTCCGTTGCCCTTTGTGCTCTGATGACTTACATGTTACAACTAGTCAAAAATGAACTTTGGCATAACCTGTCTATTATCCTTTTTAACCTGTTTTTCAACTTCCATTATGGTTGATGATGTAAGATCAGGCCTTGAGTTTCATTTTCATTAAACTCACAAGCAAGTGAATACTTTACTTTTCCCCCACAGAGAATTTTTTTTACCAGTTAAGTTGTGTAAAGCAAATATAATTTTCATTTCCTGTAATAGCCCTATCATTTTCTGTCATCCAAAATATTTATTTTTTGCCCAAGAAACCATACAAAAATCTCTCTTCAATATGATTTTTGAAGTTTTTTCTAAGGCTGCCAACTGTGAACCAAAGCAACAACAGGAAATAACCAGCAGTCATAGTTCTAGTGATTTTAAAGATCTTGAGACTGAACTTTCAGACCAAATAATTCTGAACTTTTGAATCTTGCAATTTGTCAGTGTTGAGAAATTACTTTGAAGCTGCCCCATACCAGGTCTTATTATCTACTTATCTGTTTTAAAATGGTGATTTGGGGCATGGGGGAGGAAGCACTTGCCCACAAACACACTTATTACACGATCAATCATAACATAGTGTAGGTTTTGTTTTTAAGCACCACAGTCACCCTATGTTAAGGGTGAGTTGACTGAATCTCATTCCACCATCACAAGAACTCTGGGGTTGGGGAGGTTCTATGGCTTCTAATTAGAAACTGGTAAAACATAATAATTTGAGACTCAGAAATGAAGGGGGGTAAGTTTGAAAATGATCAGGACTGAATATGAAGTGGACTGAAATGGAATGGTCATGAATGGGCAAGCTTTTGTCCACACTTTGATAACTGTTAACAGCATTATATTGCTAAACTAAATAAGAAACAAACAGTGAGATTGGTCACCTACCATTTCTCCAAGGGCTGGATCCACCTTTTGGGTCACCAATTGAACATACCTACTTTAAAACATTGAGCCATTCTGCATTAAAACTGAATAAAGCACAGTCCTAATCACTATTCTACAAAAAGGGTGGGGTATTGTTTTGTTGGAGTTAAGTGAATCACCATTGCTCCAAGCTGTCATGAACAGATAGAAATGAATATATTTGCACCATATACTAGATAGAATAAGCATCACAAGGTATGTTATGCATAGCCTTATACAGCTCTGGACCAGGTTAGAGTTGGCATTATTCTGTATATACTCTTCTTAAACTCCCCAAAATATCAAAAGTCCACTTCACAGTAACTCAGAGCATGGTTTTCACTGTGGCTGCCCCTGTCCTGTATAACAGCATCCTTGTTGAGATGCAACAGGCACCTATTATCTGTACTTTCCAGAAGTAAATGAAAATACTTTTGCTTCAACAAGCTTTTCCAGCCAGATTAAAAGATATGTGGCTTAGGTTTTCATTTTTGTATTGTTCTTAAACCTATCAGTTGTTTTTATTTGTATACAATATTTATTATTTTCTTTTAGTTACAACATCACTGTTTTATAGCATGTTTCTAAATCACCTTGAGGCATATGTAAGAGGTGATTCATGAACTAAAATAACAGTGTAGGATAGTAGTTAAGAACTTCAACGATGGGTTCAAAGTTCCTGGTTCAAATCTCATCTCAGCCATAAACCCATTGTGTTGACTTAGGTTAGTCAGGATCACTGAACTCAGCCTTGTTCCAATTCATAATATAGGGGTGATAATCATATTGGTCTGCGGAGGGTGTCTACAGTATGCCTTAAGACTAGCCATTTTTGCAGTTGTATCTAAATAGTGTTATAACACACTAGGAATTTGTTTAGAAGGAGAATGAGATTGACCAAGCCCTCCATATTGTGTCAAATTTCATTTATTTTTTATTCATTGGCTGCTGTTGAAATAGTAGCTTCCCTTTCATGACTCTGGAGCCAAGTGAGCATTCCCAGGATTCCCAGGTAAGATCCTCCCTCTATTGTGTGGGCAGGTAATCCCTCCCCTACCTGGCCTGGTCTCCTTGGCAACACTTCCCCCAGGTGGGTTTGGACAACTGACTGAGGTAGGCGGAGACCTCCAGGTATCCCACCTGAGGGAAGGCAAAGCCAAGCCTATGCTGATGGGGCCACTCCAGATCCAGGGCTGCGTCCATGCAAAGGTCGCCCCCCCGTTTTAAGCGGGGAGCGATCATTACCAAATAGATTAAAAATACAGTATAGTTGCTATTGTTTATGGCTGATATAAACCTTGAAAATGAGGGTTTGCGATTATAAATGCTGATACAGACCACTGACTCTAGAATTCAGAGCATTCAGAGAAGGTTATAATAAGAGGCTTGAATAAAAGAAAAGCGTGAAGTAAAATAATGTGTACATGATAATATCTAACCAGAAAAGAACTGAGGGGAGAAAACAAAGATTGAGTTTTAAGTGACTTGCATCCAATTCCTGAAAAACCCAGATACAGCGAGGAAGATCTTCATGTAGCAGTGAGATTCCATGAATGGATTCCTGTTTGGAATCACTAACCAAGCAAGCAGATTTAGAGCTTAGATGGCCAACAAAAAAGTACAGCCTACCTAGATAGGTCTATCAACCATGGTATTTCAATGGAACTTCCATGGATAAGTGCAATATACCTCTAAACTGGAGTGTATGGGATGTTAGAAGAGGGGTAGTGCCTCCGGTGAGGG